GCCGCGCCAGCTGCCGGCCGAAGCCGAGCAGTGACTGTCCAGCAGCAGATGCACGCATCAGCAGACCCCCCGAATCCTGCTGCTGCTGCTGCTGCTGCTGCTGCTGCTGCTGCTGCTGCTGTTCGCGCTGCTGTTCTTGCACATCATGCCGAGAAGGAAGCAGCTGCTGCTGCAGTTGCTGCTCCTGTTGCTGTCGCTGCCAGTCCCGCTGCTGCTGTTGCTGCTGCTGCTGCTGATGCTCCGACAGCAGCAGCTGCTGCTGCCTTTGTCTTTCTATGTTTGCATAAGCAGCAGCAGCAGCAGCAGCAGCAGATGCAGCAGAAGAAGCACCCTGAGGGGCGGAGCGGCAGCTGCTGCTGCAGCTGCGGCGGCGGTATGCTGCCTGCTGCAGCAGAAGCTGCTGCTCCGAAGCAACTCTATGGGAGAAATCAGCAGCAGCAGCAGCAGCAGCAGCAGCAGCAGGTGGTTGTGTTGCGCTGCGTGCTGCAGCAGGTGGCTCCCTGTGCAGCAGCAGATGAGGCAGACCGTGCTGCTGCTGCTGTTGTTGCTGCTGCTGCTGCAGCAGCAGCGTATGCAGCGAAGGGGTTACAGCAGTAACATCTGAGGCTGCTGCTGCACTCGCTAGAAGACGCGTTGTGGGGCAGCGCACATCCTGCTGCTGCTGTTGCTGCTGCTGCTGCTGCTGCTGCAGCTTACGTTGTGCTGCTGCAGCTGATAGGGGCCTGGGGTGTATATGCACCGGCTGCTGCAGCTGCCCCGCGCAGATGCCGGAGGAGGGGCGAAGCTGCTGCTGCACTGCAGCAGCAGCAGGACCCCCTGCAGCAGCAAACAGACCTGCAGCAGAAGCGGGGTTGCTGCTGCTGCTGCTGCTGCTGCTGCTGCTGCTGTTGCTGCGAGCCCATGGCACCTCAAGCGGCGGCCCAATGCCCCCAGTAAAGGCCGAAGCAGCCAACACCCCGTGAGCAGAGCAAGTGCTGCTGCTGCTGCTGCTGCTGCTGCTGNTGACCCGCAGCAGCTGCTGCTGCTGCAGGCAGCGGACTCGAACCTGGGGTCGCTCCAGACAGCAGCTGTGAGTGATGCTGCTGCAGCAGCTGCTGCTGCTGTCCCTGCTGCTGTTGCTGCTGCTGCTGCTGCAGCTGTTGCTGCAGCTGCTGCTGCGCAAAGGGCCGCACCTGGCGTTGCTGCCGCAGCGTCCTTTGTGGGAGCTCCTCATCCATTTCTGCTGCTGCTTTGGCAGCTGCTGCTGCTGCTGCTTCAGCTGCTGCTTCTGCTTTAGTTGCTGCTGCTGCTGCGTCGGCTGTCGCTGCTGCTGCTGCTGCTGCTGCTGCTGCGGTTGCCGCAGTTTGTGCTGCAGCCCCGTCAGCTGCTGCTGCAGCTGCTGACCACGGAGGCAGTGGGGTTGTTGTAGTGGTGCTGCTGCTCCGCCCCTGTTATTGCTGCTGCTGCTGCTGCTGCTGCTGCTGCCTTTGCTGCGCTGCATGCAGACAACTTGGGGTGTATGTACACCTCAACCCGCAGCAGCCTGCTGCTGTTTTTGTGCTCCCATGAGCAGAGACAGGAAAGAAAGAACCCCTGGGGGATTCGCAGCAACTGCTGCTGCTGCTGCTGCTGCTGCTGCTATTGTTGCAGCTGCGGCAGCCGACCGAGGAGCGCATGCACTGCAGCAGCTGCTACGGCTGCTGCTGCTGCTGCTGCTGCTGCTGCTGTTGAGGGGTTGCTGATTAAGCAAGCATACTGCAGCAACAAGTTAAAACGCTCCCTTTCTTTCGCTGTTGCTGGCAGCGCAGTAGGAAAAGGGGGGGAACAGCAGCAGGCACGGCTGCTGCTGCTGCTGCTGCTGCATGCAGCAGCAGCGGGAGCAGCAGCAGCGGCGGCGACAGCAGCAGCAGCAGCAGCAGCTGCTGCTGCTGCTGTCTGCCAAAGCCCCAATGGGTTCTTAAAAGTTGTTATGATTGTCCTGTGCATTTGCTATAATATTTATTTCTTTATTCTAAACCATTTGCTGCTGCTGCTGCTGCTGCTGCTGCTGCTGCTGCTGCTGCTGCTGCTGCTGCTGCTGCTGCTG